GCATTCAGTGAACTCCCTGAAATAAATCACCTCTTAAAAAAAACTGTTTACTTTATTCCAATGACCTTCAAATCATATACTAAACTCTCCCTTAGCTGAAATGTAAATAGGGTGCAACTGTGAGTGAAAACACATTGCTCAGATGTTGTTACTGCTGGTGACAGATAGTCATCCTCTGCAAGTCTACTGCCTAAAATACATTTCCAGTTTTATAATGTAGGATATTTTAAGTTACGTTTTATTACAATAGATCACATTTTCCCTCAAGAGATAATACAGGCATCTTCTGACAGCATTGGGTTTGTGTGTGTACTTACCTCAGGAATTAATTTGCCGTGTTATATCTTAATGAACCTTGCAATTCTCGTTCTGCAGGTTTCTCTGATATTTAGGTAAAGGATAGTCTTGCAGTTAAAGAACAAAAGTGAGAGGCATGATATGTATATATAATATCTATTCCTGGCTCAGTTAGTATTTCCTATAGAAAATAAGGTAGATGATGGAAAAGAAGGTAGAAGTACAACGGCTTTAAATTTCTTATGTACAAGGAAAAGGGGTGTCCCTAAACAAGTTACATCAATTCCAAGCTTCCCCGTTGTGTTAGCTCTGTCCAAAAAAATTCCAGGTCTCAAGAACAGTTTATGAATAACGTGCTCAAAGCAGCAGTCTTAAGTACAATAATAGTTGAAGGCTATCCGTTGTTTCAGCAATACATCTTTCCTAAAGCAGACATTTCTTTAAAGTTTTGGATGAAGACTGAAACCATTTTACAACCAAATAAAACAACAAATCACATCTTGCAACTAGTGCTCTTGCACTGTTTTCTTCCGGGTAGCTAGACGTGTGGGCAGAACATTGTTTGAGTTGTTGAGCAGTTGTTGAGGGATGATTTCTAGGCAATTATCATTGGTTCTCACCATATCTTTTTATTGTTGAAGTAAATCTTACTTCGTTTTGCATGTTGGATTTTTCAAAGCCAAGGGGACCTAAAATAAACAATATGCAGTACAGGTATTCAAGAGAGAAACTGCTTCTGGAGTATTGTTTATTAAACAGTTTTTCACCAGCAGCTTCAAAATAAGTAGTTGCTGTGGCCCCTTTTCCGCCCCCATCCCCAACGGTTAATTTTCCATGACAGGTGGCCATAGCAGAGCTGGAATACACAGCTATCTTAAACAGGACTGCCACTGAATGTTTTATCCTAGCTTCTGCAGGAAATGTAACTGCAATTGTAAAAAGAGTATAACAAAGGGAGAAGTATTTGTGTTTAAAGTTTGGAAAGTGACATTACCTCTTTCTAAGATCAACAGATTCCTTACAGCATATTGCCTTGCAGTGTTGCATACAAGAAACGTGTTTTGTCTGTCTCACGCCCAGTGGGTCTGCAACATCCACAAAGATTATGACTACAAAAAGAGCATCATCTATTGCTGAAAGAAACAGAGGGAGGTTTGGGCCAGTTCTATATGTTTATTTCTTAAAGATAAAAAAATAATGGTCAGCTAGCTACTGAAAAGAGGCCTGATCCAACATCTAGTGAAATCAGTTGGCATATTGAGGAAAGACTGACTCGCTATTGCTTGTCTGTATAAATGACAGCTCAGTAAATTTCAGTGGTGATCTTGAGGGGCTCCTGAAATCTAGAAGGCACAATCCCCTGAATGACATAACAGTTACCAGCAAAGAGCTGCCTGTTCCTATTGTAAAATACTCATGTTCAGCCTTCCCAGGTGGGTTACTTTGTAGGCTCCTATATACATTTTCTTGGAGAGTATGACTTATTCTAAATTAGCTAGATCCAGTCTTCTAGGGTAAAATTATTCTTGTTCAGGAGAAGGAAAGTAAAACAGCTTTTCTGTTCCAGGTTTCCCTGCACTTCTAAGAATCTACAGTCATACTGAATGATTCCAGATGCCTCATTCATTTTGATTTATTGCAATTATCTGATGAGATTTCAAATACTTGTTTATTTTATATATATACACACATATATATACACACACATATATAAAGAATGATTCATTTCAAACCAGGTAAATAAGTTACCTCACAACTACTGTTAGTATCAGACAAAAAGAACTTTTCTAACTAAGGGGATTCCAGCTACACCATCACCTTTCTTTCTATTTTCTTTAGAGAAAAATAATCTTTATGTCTAAAAAAACTACTACACACTCTTTAAAAAAAAGAAAAAAAAGAAAAAAAAAAGCTATATAAGTATTTGCAACAATGCACATATTATTTGTCAGGGAGCAGTGAGAGCCAGGAGCTCCCTAAGGGTTGGGGAGCCAGGAGCACAGGCATGGTAACGGGGATGGCAGGGCCAGAGCCTTGCCAGCCAGGGCCCAGCCCCACAGCGTGCAGGCAGGGCAAGCCTGAGGATGGCAGCTGGGATCAATCCAGAGTCCAGACCATAGACACGTTCATAAGGATGAGGCAGGTCTGAGGTCAAGCCAGGAGGTCAGTCTGCTAGTCAAGGCCAGGATCAGATCCAGTGACAGTAACCAGGCTAAGACACAGTCCAGTGATTGCCAGAAAAGTCCACATGAACAAGGCAGGGCTGAGGTCAAGGTCCAGGGCAGGAAGACAGTCCATGGGTCAGAGTCCAGATCAAGGAGGTCCTTATCAGGCACAGATGCAGCTGTGACACAGCTCAAAAGGGCACTGGAGACCAGCACTCCCACACATAGCTGGGCCAGGGACTACAGGCTGAGCTTAAATGGAGTTCCTGGCCCCATGTACAGGGGTGTGGGTGGAGGCACAAGGTGAGGCTGGGTGGGGCCATCAAGGCCTATTAGTGCATTCACAGCGCTGTTAGTAAACATACATAGTGTCTCCACTGAGTCTTTGGGATTTAATGTATTTTAAGTGAGTGGCTACATTGATTTTTCACTGATGATACAGACGACATCATTAGCCAAACAGTTTTTGTGAGCGTGCAACAAAGTTTATAAACTGCATATAAAGGGGTTGTTAGGAATGCTCTGTGAGATAAAAAAGCTAGCGCTTACGAGGTATGAGGGAGAGCAGAAGCCTTCAGGACTCAACTAGAGCAAATGCCTGAGGCAGCAGATTGTACAACCTGCATTTGAAGGCACCTTGAGGTCATACCCAGCATGACCAGTGACTAGTGTATCAGACTGAGATACAATGAGAAAATGTCCCATAAAGCCTTCTCTAAGGAGTGTTCTTTGACATGAAAAAAAAAATCTTTTTTTGATCTTGACTCATTCTTAAAACAATCTATGGCATAACCTATTAGCTCCCAAGTATTCAGTATATTTTAACATCTTGTGCTATTTCCATCTTCAGGCTATCATTTTCTTTTATCATACCAGCAATTGTACCATTTCTTTGTGCAAATCTATCAGATTACACTGATTCGATTGTTACTTCTGTTGAGCTGACTATAATGTTAAAAATACACTAGTATTTGGTGGCCTGTACGAGACACAAAAAAATACTTAGTGCGTGATCCAGCAGCCCTTGCTGAAGTAGGTCTGCAAGACCACATACAAGAAAAAGACCGAAGAATAACCCGTACAATCTGAAGTATAACGTAGCGTAGGCACTATACCGTGATAATAATAGGAGACAACTTTTTCTTCACGTGTACGCAGTCCTGATACAAGTTCTGGTATTCCTCTAAAAGGGGCTATTCCACTGAAGGGTCAGATTTTGTAATGTTGCTGGTTCTATTTTTGTGCAGTGTTCTAAGGATAAAACATCACAATGTAAAACCAAGGTCATGAGGTACCCTTGATCGTACCCGTGAGTGCATTGAAGCACACTAAAGTATATTATCAGCTGTCTGAGCCTCCGGCATCTGCTGCAGTCAATCTGTTGCTCTGGATGCTTGCTTTCAAATGCTTTTTTTCACATCTCCTAGTGATTTGATGCAAGTGATCCCGAAACTTAAGTTTTGCTGACTAGGAACCAGTGACAGAACAGCTCTACGCAGTGTTTTATTCCAAACACAACTAAAAATAGTAGTTATTAACATGACTGGACTAGGCTTCCATGATATATGTATCCCTTTAATGCTGGTGCAATTCCATTTACTTCAGCAGGGTGACTCTGGATCTGTAAGTCCAGAAGAGACTCAGATCCCACAGATAAAACTTTTTTTTTTGTTTTTTTTTTTTGGTTTTTTTTTGGTTTTTTTTTCTGGACAATTGTACTGAACTGTGTATAATGGCTTATGAAATCATTATCTGAGACCCATAATCAATCTGTGCTGTAGCAGCCTACGGTTGCTGTCGAGCAACTGTAACCAGACCCCAGCAATTCTCCTTTGTTTAGAGGGCATCCCCACGTGGCTATTCCAGTTAACTCTGGGGAAGGAGGAGAGCCTTAGGAAAAAAAAAAAAAGTAATGTGGCAAGGGCACAGCTGCAGCCCAGATATATCCAGCTTCCAGAACAGCCCTTTTAAGTTATCGAGAGACAGCTATAAGGAGAGAAAATACTGACTGTTCTAACTTCACTAGATTGCAAGACAGCTACAGCCTAGAAGAGAAGTACAAAGGCAAAGCTGCTTTGTCCTTTCACGTTCCCATCCCTCCTCAGTATCAAGTTCCTAACTTAGCTTGGATGCAGTGGATGCAGTAATACTCAGCGTGCATCCAAAAATGAAACGAGCGCTTTATCTCTACTTGACTAGGCTCCAAAACTTCAGTAAGAGGAGGCTGAGTAAGAACTTGGCCGTAGGTGGATAAGAGACTTTGCAGTGTTTATTTATTAAATATATCCCTTTTTTTGCCTTTGTTTGCAGCCTGGCAAAGCAAAAGGGAGTAAAACTTTTTTTCCCCTACATCTCATTACTGAAATAATGAGTAAGGCCTTCCCCCCCACCCCCTGAACATTATTACTGGAATAATCTGCCAAGCAAGCAGTTGAGTTGCTTTACCTTATTACAATCTTTGCCAAGAAAAATTTAGTGGCATGCTAATTTAATGGAAAATATTATAGATACATCTGTTTCAGACACCAATTCTGTGTAAAAAGATGGACAGCTAACAGGAAAAAAAATGTGTGTTCATATAAAGGATCTTTGTCTGCTTTACTGTTTTTCTCAATGTCTCTTTATCCGAAATAGTGCAGATCATATATGACAGATAGTTACGTGAAGGTACTCACCCCTTATTGAAATGCAGATATAAAAATGATAGCACTTTTTCAGTTCCATTAAATAGTAAATAGAAATACCAACATAATTATAACAAATACTCTTTTGGTAACCAAAAGATGATTTAAAAAAAGTCTATTTAATGCTGTGCAAAGCAAGGCTGGGGGTGTGCCTGCCAGGAAGGAGCAGTGTGAGTAACTCAAAGTCAAGGCAGAAATGTATTTTACAAATGTAAACCTTATCAGCAGCAAAAAGATAACTGAATTCCATGTTAATTTCAACCAACTAACAAATGAAAACAATCAGGCTCAACCAACAGAGATAACCAACAGTTTTTTAGTTCCTAGAATATTTTTACGTGCTAAAAATAGGCATGTATCACTTTAATTGCATGAGAAACTACAAGCTGAGGATCAGTAAAAGGTCATAAAAAGGTGCCTGGCTTGAAGGTAAAAAAAGCAACAGAGCAGACATATCAGAATGAAAAGTTATGATAAAGATGTGTATATTAGATATGCTGCAGGGCTGAGTTAATGGAGTTGCTTTAATTATGTCATAAACTAGCAGTTATAGCAATAGTATGTGTGAGGCAATATTAAAGATAGCATGGGGTTCACTGACGGTGCAAATAAACTCTGTTCAGAATTGTAAAAGTGAGTATTTACAGATAAAACATCTTATAACCAGTCCCAATTTCCACTCTTTTCATTACAATTCCCTAAGGATTAGATAGGGATGCAACACTACGCTCCTTGTAGTAGTGTAATAATATCCTTTCATCTCCTAATTTTATGTAACAACAAAGCTAAATTTACAGATCTGTGTGCTTCAGCCAAAAAGAAAAAATCCTCATCTTCAATGCAGGCATTTAGCAAGTGACATCATCCTAAAAACGTGACGCTGCTTTTTCTTCTTCTCAACCCACATGGCCAGGTTCTGCTATTCTTCTACTGAAATATTCTCAAGCTGTTTCAATGATTTCAGAGGCCTGTTTTCTCCTAGCACATATAAAAGTCCCAGGTTTTGCTAGCTGTTAGAATATAGACAAATAGCCCTGAATCCCTAGATTCAGAGAATAATGTTGACTTGAAGCCACCTTCGTAAACCAGGCCCTTGGAAAACTACGCAAAAAGGCTGAACTCAGGATCTGCTCTGCACTATTTTTTCACTGTGGTTCGCCCTGTTTTCATTTTGTGTGAGTTAATTTCACTGTTGTAAGCAAGATTTTTACTCTGGAAGGAACCTTCTGGATTTACTAGGCTACTTCTCACTAACATGTAAGATGTAACTTGGTGGATAGCTAAGTCTTGAGTTTCAGGAAGAGGATTTACATATGAGCAACCATGGTCTGTTCTACAAATTCATAGTTCATAATTCACAGTAGGTATGATCTGCTCTGTACAGATAGATCACTGTTCTTCTCTTTTCCAGCTTCTTGAATTGATTATTCATAAAATCATGTGGTGCATTAGACATTAGTCTAGCTTTAGAGAGTCTAGCAATAGCTCTCTCTGGAATATATAGTTTGCCTTAATTCTTTAAGTAAACTCATTCCCGGTATGAACGCAGAAAGGGCTTCCATTTAACATTTGACCTTTCAAAATATGTTTGCCAGTGCACTTTCTTCTCAAAAGACTTTCCTTCTCAAACTAAATGCATCAAATTCTACTACTCAACTTGAAAATAGCACATAAGCATATTTCTTAATTGTGTTAGGTGGTTCCTTAATGCACCCCTCAAGGTGTTTTGAAAACCACATGATCACCCTATGTGTTTCTGAATCTTGTCTTTGGAGCCAGGGTTTGGCACTGGCTGCGTGTGCAGGGACATGGGTGCAGAAGGCTTGGTGGAGATGCTCTAGCGTATAGCAAATAAAGCCTAGACTCGAGACAGATGTTGCACAATATGCATCATTCTTCTTTTGCTCTGGAAGAAGCAGGGGTCCCGCGCGATAAAATGAAACATGATTATACATTTAAGAACTTGAATGATGTTACTGTGATACATGCAGGCTGAAACTGAGTAAGGAACACACAAGCTACCATAATTCTGGCCTTTCCTAACCTCAGGGTGTTCTGACCTCTTTTACATGTGAATCTACAGGTCTGAATAGTCAAAGAGAAGTAAGCCAACCCTGAGTGCTGCTGGTGTGGTGTTTTTAGACTAGTGGCTGCTTGAGAAGGACAGTCGTGGATTTTCATCGGTTTACTGCTATATGCACACCTAACAGGAGAATTCCTTAAATATGCATTCAGTGGCAGCTGATGTATCCAAGCATTAGGCCCATACAGAAGTGGGTTATTTCTGGTTCTTTCTGATTCGTAATTTGGTATGCAACGACTTTTTGTTTCTTCTGACAATTTTTTTTTTCCCACGTTGTCACAATCTACTCTACAGATTTAGGCTGCTGAAAGTCTAGGGATAATCATATCATAAACAACCATCTGTATGTTCATCACACTAGTAAAACAAGTCATCCAGAAGGTTTTATCCATTAGAGCTTGAAAAACTCACAATACAGGTATCTAGCAAAGGATAGAAGAAGGGGGTTGTATGTGAAATTAAGAGAAAAATCAGGATAAATAGAATAAATGGATATATAGAATTAACCGATTTCTGCATTTTAAAAAGGATGATATTGTTTTTTTCAAAAATCACTGCATGTTTGTTATCTCTAATGTATACCAGGATGAAACACACAACCTGCTAGGGTCATGATCGTTTTCTGGAAGCAGCTCAGCATACAGTTACCTTCACAGGGGGAAGAGTGGTAAAAGTGATAGCAAATGGAAAGCACATCGAGAAAGTATTTTCATATTTTAAGTTGGGAATGACCTTGGGTGTTGCCTGATTCTACTGTTGTTACAGATGCTCACACAGTGACTAATGTTTACATTGGAACATACAGAAACGAATATAGGAATTAGTCGACTCGATGAACAGGTTTTTGGTCAAGAAACTCCTGGCAGCCTACACGAGTAATTAAAAGCTCCATGCATTTGATTTGAAATGGAGACCTGGAATCTGGGACCTCCGTTGTGTTACCTACTGTAACCCCCCGCTTTGTACATCTGCAAATTACGTTGCAGACGGTCCTGAAGACTGAAAGCTGCTTAGCAATGCCATGACCGACAGCCAAACTGTTCTGTGTGAGCTGAGAATCTTTGCTCCCCAAAGGGGATGACTCCAGCAAGTCTGGGCAGGTTTTCAATCTGAAGGAAGAATAGGGAGGCACGTTACGCAAATGCCTTCTCTGTCCTCCTCTGGCGGATACAGAAATCTCTTGTACGTGTATAAAAGGAAGGCCTCCCTTTTTGTGTGGGTGTGCAGGTTTCCTCTCATTTAATGGAGTTAAACATTCCTCTGCTGACAGAGGAAAGTGCCTTTCGGCCAGTCCATTACTATCAGTGAAGATACATGTTAACTTTTCAGGCCCACATATCTGAGCACTGAGACTGCAAGAAACACTAAATCTAGAACGCTGGTAAAGCGTCTGAATTTCTAGACAAAATTTATCCAGAAAACAAACCCAGGTATTAGAATACGTGAAAAAAAGGTTTATTAAAGGAACATTCAGGTTGCAGACTAAGCACTCCAAAATTGGGAAACGATAGTGATAAGTTTTTTTATACAACCTTAATTTAAGAGCTTTGTGGACCGAATTACAATAGCTTTCGATTAAATAATGCAGTACTTTTTTTTTTTCACCCTCCTTCAAAGTGAATCAGGGTTGCATGCTAATACCATGTTTACCCTGTTGCAAAAGCTGGGAGATAATGAGACAGAAGACAGCAGGAAAGAGAAAGGACAATTTCATGGCTCAGAGGCCTGGGTAACTGATTTTTACCCATATCTGTGTCACAAAATACCTGTGGGATAGCAGACATGGCACATCAACTAAACTGTTCACAGGTGGCAACTAAGTGTACATGCTTCATTCCTGAAGCTTCCACATTTGAGACCTTTTCAGAAGCGAGGAGTGATTGCAATTGTAGGCAGGTCCTTACCCTGAAGCGTGGCAGCACTGGAATTACTCAGAAGAGAGGTCACAGGAGCTTCTTCTGAGCAAAGGGTCATCCTTGGAAACTGTTGCATCAGTTTGATTACGCTGTCCCAATGTAAACTAAATGTGTGTCTAGCCAGGCAGGGGAAGGAATTCAGCTTCAAAACTGTAGGACCAAATGATCAAAATTTGGTAAAGTCACAAGCAACAACCCACAGAGTCCTCCGAAGGAAAACACTGGTAAATAATACATGATGCTAGAGCCATTTCTGGAATACCTCTAGACAGTGGGAGATATGGCCAAGTGAGGAAGACAGGGACATTTCTGTCTTTCCGGTCTTAAAAAGTGTATCATTGATACAGCATAAGGCTGAGCACCAAGGTTTTCCAAAGCATAACAAGTTTCCCCATGCTAATCATTCATTTAAAACTGAGGCTGCTCAAGTGCATTTTCTGCTAATATCGATCCTAAAGCCCAAAATCCCTGCATCTCAAGCTTTACTGTCTGCTTCACATACTTTCCCATCCTAGCAGTATATCCAAGCCTACTGACTCTTTAGTTCTAAAAACTCCTTTCGGAAATTCACCCCACCCTGTAACTCAGAGAAGAGGTGGGTAAACCAATCAGCACATATTCAGCTTTCAGGTTATGAGTTATTCCATAGCAGTCAGCCTTTCTGCATCTTGGGTGTGATGCTGACCTCAGTAAGAGCATGCTGCCTTGGTTAATGCATGACTTACCTGCTGACATTATTCTCACTCCTCCCCACCTCCACCTCTCTAAAAAAATTTCAGATTTTAATAACAGTCTTAGCTGACATCAGCAGATACTTCCGGTTGCATTGGTAAGGATATACCACCGATGAAACATACCTGGGGTTATGTAATGGAGGTCAGTATAGCTATTGGTCATTCACAGATCTGTGCAAATCTAGATGTAGAGCTTAAAGGTTTTGGTGACAGCTTGAAAGACTCTTAAGTTTATTTGTTTTGCTTTCTTTTTACAAAATAACTCAATAGAAAATTGCTCCCCAAATAATTATTCTAGACTAGCTGGACACTAATCAAACGTACTGTAAGTCAATGTTTTTGAGTGCATTTAATGCAGTATGATTAAAAACACAGACTTCTTGGCAATATTAAGCTTGTCAAAATCAAATCTGAAACTCCTGTTTTGTTTTTCCATTTAACACCTCTCTTTCTGGGTTTTAAACCAAAACCTAGCAGAACTATACTTATTGTGGAAAATGGGGGGGGGTGAAAAGTGCTAGAAGTTGTTGAGCAGAGCCTAGAGATCCCTTTGTACAAACCATTCTACCTCCCTTTAGGTCTCTGAGAACAAGAGGATGAATGAAACTTTAACTGTTTGTAAGTAATACCCACTTTTACTTTTGTGTTACCCCTGAACGTAAAGAATTTGTTTCTGAAAAACTGTAAAACAAGATATGAGAGAAAGACTATCTCTAGCTAGTCACTAGCTTCCCCATCTAGAGTGAGTTTAAACAAACCAGTTAAAGTGGCATCCAGTTAAAGAAGTCACTTTAAGGTGTTCTCCTAAGATACAATCCAGTTTACTTTTATTCCTACATCCTAGACAGCTACTGGTTTAACTAGGTCAACATTTCACTCTTGCACTTGGGAGTGTGACTGGATACAAGAAATAATTCTGTATTTGAATAATGACAAGGCAGAAGCCACGTAGTACATGATGTGACAGTGGTCCATGCAAGATGAAGTTCAGAATGTGCAGGGGCCATTTCACTCTGTTCATACCACGTGGCACAGACTGCGTGAATTCCAACAGATCTAATTTCAGGTTAACTCTGTGTTTATAACGCTGGTGCTCATCTGTTGCACCAAGAAAAGATCATTTGAAAAATTGGTTAATACTAGCTAAAAAGATCATTCCGCTCATCAAGTAAAGCAAGCAAAATGATTACTGGCAGGAACAGCAGCCATATGCTTGACCTTTACCCATTCTCTCTTTCTAGCTTCACATTCAGGACTAGGCTGAACGCATTCTTAGGAGACACGTATTTGGAGGAAGAAGGCTATTTTAATTCACTGTGCGGTTTCGCAGCGTAGTAGGTCTCTAGGAACATTTCCTTTCACGTCAATCCCTTTAAGCATTTTACAGAGCATAGTCTCTTCTGGGAAGTCAGTAAATCTGAATTCATGTTTTAAAGTTTTATCATGACTCAGAATATAATGTACAGAAGGCAGATGGCATAGCTGAAGAATAAAGGGAATGCAACCTATGTAGTCCTGCTAAAGATATTACTGGAATATTTTACATTTTCCATGCACCCAAATTAAACCCTTTATACAAGCAAAGTAATCCAAAACCATCTGGCATCAGAATTTGGGATTTCATAATGCCTTAATGGAAAACATGTGAGCAGGATATCCAAAATGTCGGTGGCAGTGGGTTGCATTAATAGATACAGAAAAGACTTAACTTTGCAATAGTTTTGTCAGGTTTTTGTTATGCTCGACTCAACACCACTAATACCAACCTTAAACCACTGCTGTTCAGCAAGGATAACTTCTGCACTGTTGCCATTTCTTGCCTGACTGTTGTCACTTCACTGTGCCTGAAGATCAGAGAGGAGAAGACTGAACTATGAAGCCAGATCTTTGGTCTAGCTGCTCTCTTGAAGTCCTTTCCAACCCTACATTTCTATTTAACAAGCGATAGGAATAACTGTGACAAAGGATCACTTTCAATTCAGTCTTCCTCCTTCCTCCTTTCAGGGCTGAATCCTACAATGAGTCACCACTGGGTGACCAGGCAAATACTGGTTCTGCCCTAATGGAAGCCCAGTGTTTGCAGAAGCCTGAGCAGGTTGTAGCTGAACTGACTCCTTACATATTTAACAAGCATGTATTCTCTCTCTCCCGACCATGTTTCTCCAAGCTAGGATATGAAAAGTTCTGCCAATACACATGTTATCTTTCCAAACTCCTTGGGGTCCCAACCAACTGTCTTCCCCAAGTGGGTTCTTTGTTCTTCTCTAGAGCAAAGGAAAGTGATTCTGTAAAGTCTGGGCATTCAATCTTGACCCAAGCTACGTCGCAGGAGTACTGCGCAGGCACAGCTGTGCCCAGCTGTGGGGGCCTGACAATGGGTACAACCTAGTTAGACTGAGGTTGTTTACAACTCCTCCGAAGTTCAGAAAATCCAAAGTTTGGAGACAGCTTAATTGAAAATAGACTTGAAAGAAATCATGAGAAATGATTCAAAATTCTGATTATCCCAGCAACCCTGCAGCAGAACAGAAGCACTTTGTCCTATGTTGATTATTTTGCATTAATCCATGCAATGCCCTGCTTGATTGGTGCTGTGTATTCTGTTATGATCAGCTGGTCCGCTGGAAGATGACCTTTCTCTATTCTAACTTAGGATTTTCTTTGTGCCACTCTACCAGTATCATGCCTACGGCATCACCCCAGTATAACACGATGACACTTGAGGATGGAGAGGCCCTGATACTTCCTCCTCTGCCGATGGTTTTGGGACATATTTGGGATGCCTTCACATTATGGTAGTCCTGCACTATCATTTCAGCTCCCTTGGCTGTTGCCAGTACCCTTCTGGCTATAGCAGCATGGAGAAAAAGAGTGTTCCAACCTTGAACACAGAAGCCCTAGGATTATAGATACAAAAGGGAACTTTACACCTCTACTGCCTTTTCTGACCCATACAGTACATTGTTCAGCTTGATCTGGTGTATTTTCTAAAGAGCACCCGCGACCTTCAAAGTCCTCAATATTGGTCAGAATAAGCGTTTTGAGAACCAAGCAGTTGAAGAGAATCCAGACAACTCTTCACTGAACGTTCACTTTTAATTTACACCAGATGTTAGCAGCATAGGAACAAAACCACAGCCAACTGCTGACTTATAGCTCAAAAAGTAGCATGACTATATCTGCATATACCTGTGACCTCCAGATCCTGTTTGCTTATGGAGTACAGTTAAGCTTTTAATCACGTGGGTAGGGACTTGATTGGTTCTGGTCGCGTCTACACAAAGATTTCAGCCCTGCCCTATACCAGAGCTGCCCCTTCCCCTTCCACTGCTCTCTCCTCTGCTCCTAAGGCATGCATCTTCCCGCAGCTCCCATTAATACTCCTGCTGTCCCATGGTTGCTCTTGGCTTTGTGGCATATCTCCTGTCCAGTGCAGAAGCAGTTAGCCCAGGTGGCCTCCTGGTCACACAGCCTTCTGCCTCTGCCACAAACTGCCCTACTTCTTGTAAGAGAGGCAAAGAGGATGAGTGTACACCCCTGGCATATCAAAGGTGGGGATTTTACAGGTTAGGCCACTCTCTCCTTGAGGCCTGCCTCTTGTACCTTCTTCTACTTCATTTCCACAAATGCTTTTTCGTGGGTGACCTGAGACCCTAACCACAGACTTAGCGGCACAGGAGGACTTCCTCCCTGCTGCACAAGTGCTCTCTGATTCTTCTCACCTTCTCTTCCCATTTCCTGACCCTCCCTGCCCCTAGATAAACCTTTTCATTTTCCTCAGTCCTGGTGCTCTCATCCCAGCAAGATGGGGTTGTGGCATCCCTAGGCAAGAGAGGAAATCAAGGATCGCTAAGTGTGAAGAACTCTGTGTACTGGTGTATACTAGGGCAGTCCTGAGTCTACTGGTAGAGCAGCGGTGGATTTTGCATCCTTGACAACAGAAGTATGGTAGCACAGAGCAGCATGAGAGCGCTGGGCATAGGGACCTCCTGGGCTTGGAAGTGGGTAGCATGGATGTGGAGAAGCCTAGTGTAAGGTGCCAAGGAAGCATGGATAAAGTATATATTAACACGCAGCCTCCCAAACAATTTTGAAAGTTATACCTTCAGCAAGGAAAGGTTTCTCAATCAATTCTAGATTTTACAGATGATGCAAGTGTTTTATTCTCTCTGAAGGCTCATTTCTTCCTTCAGAAGTTTTGTTCGTTTGCCACAGCATAAGCAGAAAAGCTCTTTCTTCTTTCCTTCCTTTTTTCTCCACCAGAAAGTGGAGAATCACCCCACTAGTTCTAGGTGATGTAGGCTGTGCCAGTCCCTAACTGGGGACTCCAGAGAAAGGGCTGGGGAGGCCTCTGGGAGCTCTTATCCTGCTGGCATACAGGCCAATCACAGTCTGGACAGGACTAGAGGGATTTTGCGGTTCTAAAACTATTACCAGCTATCAGCTTACGCTTTGAAACGTATACAGTACGCAGTAGGCCAATGCTGTGTGTGAATGTGAGAGGCAGCTTTACCCTGGCAGGGTGGAGCAGGAAAAGAGAGGACTCACCTGGCACTAAGCCCTTTTAGGCAAATTTCCAAATTAAGAAAACCCTATAATAATGTCAGTAAAGTCATCATGACAATGAAATGCATCTGGGAATGCAGGACTGAGATCCTATGGCAACTTCAAGCCTCTCCTGGGCATGCTGAAGAGCATATCATGATTGCTCAGTTATATCAGCTAAAAAAATCAGGCAAAGGGCAAATAAAGGCAGGAGCCTATTTTCTCCAGTTCAGTTATGCATCTATTGAAGCCTAAGGCAGCTATTTCTGATTTGTGAGAAGTGCAGCTCACCCCACCCAGCAGCCACACTGGTTTGTATTTCCACAGTTGGTATGCGAATGGGCAGAATGGATTAGGAAGGCCGGCACGATCTGCCATCACATATGGGTGCCACACCACTGCCGTGTGACAGAGATGCAGGTCTCCCCTTTGCCTCCAGCTTCTCAGCCACTTGTCAACCATCAGAGGATGCAATGGCAGTGTGCATCAAGTTTGGAAATGTTTCTGGGCTATATCTCAAATCTGCAAGCCTTGCTCCTCTCAGCTCTCCTCCGGAGCTTATCTCCTTGTCCCTAACTTGAACAAGCCACCCCAAATTCCTGGTTACCCATCCTTGCCAAATTTGCTTTTCTAGTAGTCTCTCAGAGAACAAGCTATACCCGCATTAGTAGTTTCAATAGAACGCTTACTGATACGTCCTAGTAGTTACTTTATTCCAAAAAAAAAAAAAAAAAGTCTATTTTTCAAATTAACAGTATGTAATAATCCAACTTCAAGTATTTTGTTATTTGGTTTTTATAAAGCTGTGTTTATAACGCCTTGAACCCTAAAATAACTGTCAGTTTACTGTTCCGGTTGCCAGGTCATGGCTAGGGAGAGCCTAATCCATCTTTTTAGGGGCTTGATGTGTTTCTCAAAACTGTGAACCCTCGTGTCAGCCACAAGAGGGAGGACGTGACATGCACTACACCGAAGTTTCTAGTTTACCAAAGAAGTTTCCAGTTTACAAGAAAGTTACACTAGTTTACATTAAGATTCTATTTTAAATCAGTTTAGTCAAAATCAGTGCAAGAAGCTGGCTGACTTTTGTAGTTAAGTTTAAGAATAGCTTATTTAGGGTTGCCATAAACAGATTCCAAATTGACATAAGCTAAACTAAGAGTCTTCACAGAAGTGTTTATACCAGTTTAACTAAATTAGTTGAAACCTCCATGGAAGATTAAGCAGTGGGACCCTTGTGTTTGGATAAACACTAAGACTGAAATACACTAATTTAGCTTAGAATAGAAATGTAAAAGTCTGGTTTAACTTCAAAAGTAAACTGTGCACTGTATTCATCATCAGCTTCACAGAAAGTCCCTCCTAAAGAAGCGACTACTCATCTGTATTTGATTGTTTCTATTTGAATCTTTCTCATTAATTTTTGTTGCTGAATCTGCCTCATACAAACAATCTCGTAACACTAGGACATTGTGTGAATGCCATGACACAGCTGAAGGCAATGGGGAAGAGATGTTCCAGTGCTTGGATATCTGAGAACCCTGCATTTAAAGCACAGCTTGTAGCAGAGTCTATGGTCGGTCTCTTATTTAAAAAAGCCTAGCTGCAGTAGTACTTGCTTTAATGCTGGTGTAGGGGTGTTGCTGGTGGGTTTGTTGGCTGGCATTCTTCTAGGACAGAGGGGAAAATCAACGTTCAGAGTGATTCAAAGAGAAAGGTTTTGCTCAGCTTCCTAAGGTCTAGATCTGTAGAATCTCTCCTGGACATTTTTCCTATCGCTGGCTTCTCTCCGTTAGGAATGCCTTGTTCTTCCCTTTCATATGTTTCCTCCTAGGTTTTGTAATCGGCATTGCCCCAAGGAAGTGCAGCTGTCATGATGGTTCACAGATCGAAATTCAGCCTTTAAAGTAGCTAAGGCTTGATTCATTTATTACTTTGAAGATCATGACCAAAGCCTTAAATTGGCATCTGAAATATGAAACGTAGCATTTGATGAGGCCCAGGAAACCTGCAGAGGAGGCAGCTATTGTATCCAATCCAGTCTGAGAGACTCTGATGCAATATTCAAGATGGATGGTTTTAAAGGGAAGGAGGGAAGTTCTGACTATAACATCGAACAGGTACAGAAGCTGGAGAGTTCTGAAGACATGAACGCAGAGAAGCCAGGCAGTAGCATTCATCCTGTTTAGGAGCTACTCTTAGCAAAGCAAAAGACAGAGAAAGAGCAAGGTCGCCCTGGAAGCCAGAGGATGGTGAGTGGGATGCCTAGAATGCAGAGGAAGTGGCGAGAATCCGCCTTGCACCCTATGGGTGTATATGCAGCTGGCATGAAATGGAGGAAAATACACTGAGAAGGGTTTTGGTAGTGACAGTCACGTGTTCCTGTTTGTAAGTGTCTTTTGAGTAAAAGAAGAACATCTGTTCTTGAAAATTCTGTTAAAAGAAAGTTTTCCCTCCGTATTTATCAGCATAGTATTAGAGTGCCAAAGGTGAAGCCATGGGTGTACCGGATCAGAACTGAAAGACAAAATGAGAAAGGAGGAGTCATTCACAGTATCAGGGAAGCAGGATGCATTTCAATATCAGCACAAAGAGAGATGCTAAGTTTCAGGATGGACCAGAAATAGCCCAATAAGTTGCCACTGAATCAACAGCTTCTGATGGAAATCTGTCTTGGACAGAAAAGTTTCAGAAAGCTTAAATTGCTATATTGAAAGTGCTAGTTATCACTTCCCCATTCTTTAAATACCAAGTGTTCATCATCTCTGCCATTACAAGTTTATTGTAATTCTAAATAGGATTATACCGTGACTCCTTGCACAGACCAAATGACAGAAAATGTAAATTGCCAAAACTGAAAGAGATTCAGGTATTAAAATTATTCAGTTCAGTGTGCATTTTATGGAGGTTCCCGTTACAAAATATAGTAAACTTTTGTTTTCCAGTACTTACCACTGACTTGCGTAATTAAAAGCAAAGTCACTTGGTTATACTTTGCATATTCATGGTCTTGTGTTCAGCACACCACCAGCTGAATGAACGTCTTCCCATCTGAATGCTAAAGAGGACAGCCTGAAGTGCAGAAAAATGAATGAGTCAAATGTTATATTTTCACTCAGTTGTCATGAGTGCAGGAACAAGTCTTTAATTGGCTGACGGAGCAAACGTTGGTAACCTTGTTCATACAGCTAGTACTAGTTCATCCATAAGGCTTTCCCACAGCATGGGGTAGGATTCAGGAAGGATTCGGGAAGAAGTGCATTTGAGATGGCAGGTCATCATGTAGGTGATAAGGAGCAATTCACCTGTGATAGCAGAGGGCCTGGACATGAGGTCCAAGGAAGCTCTTTCTAGTTCTATGCCCTGATTTGGACAACAATATAGATTAACTTGGTTAACTCAGTTACTGTGAATGAAATAATCACAGCAGAGTGAATTGTTAGTGTCAGAATAATTACATCACGCAGAGACACACTGTAACCTTCTGCTGAAGAGATGGTTCATAGACGATTTCGAAGAACTGAAGCTCTAATTTAGAATTAGATGTTAACTGCTTAGTGGTAGTACTTTTGTTTTGACCAGGTATTTATTTTGTCTAGTTATTTGACAGCCAGCTGCACTGATGGCCTGTCAGGCTTGACTCCCAGCAGCTGAGAGGAAAAATACGAAAAGCAGCTCAATTTTTCATCATGGCTTTTTTTAAAATTTTTTTTAATTTTTTTCAGCACTGGCTGTTAGACCACAAAATAACCACATCTGGTGGATCCTTTCATATAGCATCCTATATGTTGCATAGGTGAATAGAATTGCTCCGGAGATTGCTCGATCAGAGGCTGCACAACTGGCACAAGAAAAGAGAACTTCTTCCACCTTGCTAGAGCAAATTGAGGGAGGAGGGGAGATGGGCTAAGAAGTGAAAAAGGCAATACAGGTATAAATATCCTTGCTTGTTTCCCAAGCCTCTCCTTACAGTTCCTCAAAAATACACATGCTTTGAGCCACGCACTCTACTGCTCAATAAGCACGAGAGTGAGAATGTTTTTGAATACCATCCATGTCCTCCAGAACAGCTGAGTCGGTTGTACCAGGGCAACAGCTCATGTACGGTCATACCAGCTCCAAAGACATCTTATAATATAGGGTCCTCTATCCACATGTGCAGCTGTGTTCACTAAAGAATTACAGTACCTCTCATCTGCACAAGTCCAGATACAGTTTGTGGTTTATGGATTGCAAGTACTTGGCTGCAGAAACTTCCACATGTTCTTCATATCCTTGTCGCTGGAGTTTTTTAATCTCCAGTCATGACAGCCAGCTCCAGCACTCCAGGACCAGCACTGAGACAATAGCATTGGTTTGCTTTTTAAAAAATACTCGAAATTCTACATTTTTCTCAGAAAGACTTCAGTGTCAGTGGACCTTTGTGATACGATTTGAGTGTACTGGCTGGAACTGATATATTAATCGAGCATCTGATATCTTCTGCTGGAAAAATGAATAGCAACATTTGTATTTTAATAAATAAAGTTTCCAGCTCTTTAAGTAAAAATGCAGAATACAAATTGTATAGAAGTCAGCAAAAAAAAAAATTAGTTATATTCTGAGTATGATTTATTTTTGTCTTATCTTGGATGGCAATAATAGTTCTCATAGCTCTTTACTGATGGCAGTTTGCAACAGTCTTCTCTATTCTCCTTCCCAATTCCTTCCCAACTCCCAAACGTGTTGTCTTGACTAGAAAAGCATGACCTGTGGCTGCACTTGCATGCAAACGATTTGAGCTCAAACCCATTTTTGATTCGTCCATACAGGAGTTCTGAGCAAGAATTTTAACCTGTTCCTACCTTATCTCCCTTATGAGGATCATTATGCTTTCTCTTCGATACCTTCTTCTTAAGTTACAACAAAGTAAAGAATTTTGCCTGTGTTTCATTAAGAACAAATGTGTGAGTGCAGCCTGGACCTTATTCAAACTTCAGCTTTAATCAGACTACTGTAAGGAACTACTGTGGAGATGCAGAAACCAGTCTTCACTGAAAGGTGTAAAGTTCTGCACTTGTCAAGTATTCAGAGTATGACTATTACAGTTTTCCCAGGAAAGAGTTGAGGGCCCAGCATCCATAAAGAAGCTAGCTTATTTCTTCATAACGATATTTTTTAAAGTTCTAAAACTGCTGAGATGCTAAATTAGCCTCTATTTAAATTTCTTGCCCATTAGGTCATAAGTAAATTGTAGGGGCCTCAATGATCACCATGTACCAGATGAATGAGTCTTACTGAAATTAGAAAAGCCTGAGTCTGTGATCATGCATCACTGACAAGGAGGAAAAGTATATAATCTTCTTGAGATGCGGGGGCCTCTACTCATCAGAGCCCCATATCATGAATTCCAGAATTCTTCTAAACTAGACTTGCAATTAGTAGAAGAAAGTCTAATATTAGCTCTGCAGCCTCATTAAAATCATCAGCACTTATACAGATGGATGTCTCCCTGTCTCAGCAATGACTCTAAAAGATCTCAAGTTTATCCATATTGGAGCCTTGTAATTGGAAGAACCATTTCAAGTCTTCAGTTACTATTTCTGATTCCTAAAACTTATTCTGAGTATTAGAGTTGCCCATTCACTGTAAAGCAATTTACGGTCATAGGTTTGAAACTTGTTTTAAACAATAAAGAGCAATACCAAGCTGTCACCCCCAACTCTAAGTAAATGCAAGTAAGCCACTGTCCCCAAATGCATATTTTCTGGGTTTATGACATTTGCTTGTTACATTATGGCTACCAGGCAAATAACTAGAAGATGCAGAGAGCGTGAGCAGCTATCCATATTAGTGTCAGCGTGTGTCAGCAGCACAGCCTACTTCAGAGAGGCTCCTTCCCTTTTCTTGGGATATCCCATGAGTCACCGCTGACTGTGCATTACTCCAATGCCCCATAGGCTGCATGTGTAGGCTCATGTCACTCACCGTGTTGCATCAGGGAAAACATGTTCAAGAGAACTGCTGTCATATGCACAGTCACCTGTTGGTGGTTAGGAAATGGGTTTTGATTGCACTGGCTATTGCATAGCAGTAGGAGTTTTGCAAGGGGGTAACTGGAGGTAAGCACGATGGGCTTAGCAGGCTCATTTTGTTAGTGTCCTGCCCTTGCCACAAGCAATTTCCTCCATAATCTTCCTTGCAAAGACTTTAGGAAAGCAACGTTTTTGATGTTTGTCATTTTAATGCTTTGTCACAGTCCTGCACCTATGGAATGAGTCTTTGACTTTAAACTTCAGAAAGTGGATTTTTGGGGCTCTGAGTTTGGCCATAAGTCAGGCTTCAAATTCAGGGAACTGGAAGCTCTTTCCAGACCAGATATCAAGTCCTCAGCCAGATCAAATATTTTCATTGAAATTCTAGGGCTAAATTGCTACAGCCTTCCAAGTGAGCCAGCCTGATTTTCTCTCACTTTGTGCAGCAATGTCCTGCGCTTGGTGCCTGCTTCTGACATTCCACACAGTCATTAGCAACAAGGGGGACAGTAGACTCTGCTTGGAGAACGGAGACTACAGCATTAGTTTTGAGGGAGTCTGTAACTGATTCAACTGATTTTTCTGGCTCTCTGTACAATCAGGCAGCATGGGTAAGGGAGACAGCTCCCTTTAGATCATGCAGTCATTCCAGAATGGATTTATATCAGTCCATCAGTTTCACATGGGACTGTTTAACTGAGTAAAACAAAACCTTTGAGCATCATTAAAAGGAAGGGCATTTTCAGCTTAACTTAAATTATGAGTGTGCTAAAAGCAAAGCTCGGTAACGTATACAGAATTGCATAAGCTGAACTTCACTCCTGCTGAGTACAGTACTGTGCTGCTCTGTATTCTCTGCAGGAAGATGGGGATGGTTTTGATGGTAGCATAAAAACTGATATGTTTTGCCAGAGTGCTTCCAGCTGATGGAGTGGCTGTCTCTAGGTACCACACCAGGAAAAGAGTCCAAGTTCCTCAACCAGTTGGTGCAGACCGGCTCATGTAAGCATTGCATAGCTCTGGGCTCTGTGTGGTTGTCCTGAGATTATTGTTACTGTTTTTTCATTTTTTCCCTCAGCTGGCAATGCACGAAATAGTAATTGGCTGTGTTACAGCCTGCCAGAGTTGTGCCTCTATAGGATGACACCAAAAGTTATAGATTGTCTGCCTTTAGGCATCTGAAGACATAAGAACTACTGGAACAGTATTAGAGCAAACTTGGTGCAGCTAATATCCAGATTATCTCTTGAGGTTGGACATGTCCCCAGGTTTCCTTTCAGTTCTAGGAGGAAAGCCAGAGGTGACTAACTTGCATGTCATTGCAAACTAATTCTTGGTTTTGGGAAGAACCGCACAGAAGATACAGCTCCAGCAGATATACTATTTTTTATTTTCTCTCTTTTACTTTGGCAAACTCAGGCAGTAGCCTTTAAAAAATGCAATCTGGGTAGTGAAACACCCTTGCTTCTATTGTTTCTAGCTGTAATAAATACATTCCTCTTGGGTCAAAGCTTTCCATGCTTAGTTCTAGATCAGAGGCCAATTTTCATGTTTGAAAGACCAAGCGAAATGAGTTTTCAGCTGTGAATTACTCAAACATGGGAGTAGGAAGGAGAGAGACTTTAATGTTGTGATCAGAAACGTTGCCCTCTGGTAACTCAAGAGCTCTTTAAATGCTTTAAAATTTCTAAGCAGCTTAACACAGTTTAATCTACTTCAACCATCTTTTCTACAGTCTGTTTGGATTGAGGAGAATCTGTTCTGAGTGGCTCTGAATTCAGCCTGATTGATTAAGGTTGCTTTTGGAGACCCTTTAGCAATTCCACCTTGAAGCTTTGTAGGGGCTGGTGCAGATGTGCCACGAAGAACTGGGGATCAGATTGCCTACGCTTAGCGCTCCTGCGCTGAGTTCATCTGCACAGAAGAGAATCTGGATATATAAATCAAATAGCTCCTTCCTCAAGATGGTGCAAAAGCTCTCCTGTCTGAAAACTCTACATTTATGTGAAAAGGAAATTATGTGGAAAAATATGAATGCCTCTGAAAACGAAGAGACTG